CCTGCAGAAGGAAAAAGCCCTTTAACTTCATCACAAGTGGTTTTAAAGAATCTGTCCAGTGGATCCCTGGCACTAACATTTAGCGTTGCAAACATTCACAAGCAATCCCGAAGGTGGGTGACTTATAATCTCTTGTAAGTTTGCAGATGTGAGTCACATTTAGCTAGTGAGTGAGCCTAGCTGTCTGTCCAGGATCTGCCTTCCACCAGACGTTTTAATTTTCACCTCATGGTAAGTAGTGACTCTCATAAAGTTACACCATATTTTTGTGGAAAGTAATCATATGCGACAGGAAGGGTTTTCAAATTGGGGAAATTTGCAAAAGTCTCAGGATGTATTCCCTTTTGAATACTAAAGGCGAGAGGTATTCTATCTGAATTTCATAAAGAACAATTGGATTGCCTATAATATAACTTCCACCACTGTTAACTAAGACATTCTAGAGTACCATTAGCCAAGTGAATTTAGGATCTCTATGGCCCAATGGGAGGAGAGGGTAGAAGAAAGGGAGATCTTAAAAGAAGGCAAGGGAAACAACATTCTGAGGATAGACATGAAACCCCAAATTAAGTCACCATAGATGCCATTCATCTTGGATTCTGAAGATCCCTGCCCTTGGATGCAAAATTTCATATTTGTATGATCCTTTGTGGTTGGGAGGGTAGCAGGTGATGGGAACCAATCCTTCTGCCTTTGAGATCAGCATCTCTCAAATTACTTTCCTATATCCAGTCCCACAGCTATCCACAGTCTGCTTATAGCCACATCCTCAATATTGCCATATTTTATGACCTCTAAGTTCAGTTTAGCAACCGTTATGTTTTAAAAGGTTCTCACTTTTCTGGTCCCCCAAACGGGGACATTTTGTGATGGATGTCCTTCCACTTTATGACACCTGAGGCTCCTGATACTCGAGACTCTCCCACTGTGAAAATCATCTTTTGGTCGAAGGCCCTACGAAGCAGTCTCAAAACCTCCCTTCCTTCCTTGTTATCAGGCAGGTATGCAGTTCGATGGCCTCCAAAATATCTCTTTCCTGGGTTTGGGTGCTCTTTCTGTATGAAGACAAGAAAATGTCACATGAAAACACTCCTGCGTCTAAATTTTACTATATTTATAGATGTGTTCATATGCAGATAGAGCAAATGAGAACCAAAAACAGTATTGAAGGTTTGCTTATATTCCCAATAATTCATATTTCTCCTGTTTACCCAAATTCATGCTGGGAACACTATCCACTTTCCTGACTCCCCCCTCCCCCTGCCCCACCAACACATAAGCACCACCCACGCTTTCTCCGCCTTAATAGACACAAAAGATACCTAAGTTATAAGCAAACATTGTTAACTTTATCACTATTTAAAGCCCTTGCATATGACCATGGAAATAATTCCTTGGGAAATCCACTGTCTAATTGCCAAGAGAACAGTCTCCTTTGCTCTGGTAATTCCAGCATATTGGAAAGAAATCCATGGACCTCAGAAACACTTACTGTTTGTACTCCTCCTTCCATAATGTAATCAATCACAATGGAGCCACAGGATTCATAACCTGGAAGTGACTCTCTCATGACAGTGACATCCATGGTTCCTTCCGGCTGATTTCCTCTCTGGATACTGTAGGGAGTCTGGCACACGGGACACTCTGGCTTAAATGACATGGCTCTGTTGATACAAGGCCCACAGAATTCGTGCTTGCACTTGGGTAGCACCTGTTTGTTGCTAATAATGTCCATACAGATGACACAT